ACCATTGAGACACGTGGCCATGGGAAGGGACGGTATCACTGACCGGCTATGCCCAGCTGGACCGGATGCAGGGATTGTGGGAGAAGGAGGCAGGGGTCCCACGGAACCCGTCAGGGTCTCACCACGTCCAGCCCCGGCACACACAAGTGATGGTGGCACCAAGCACAGAGAGAGGCTCAGAGCTGAGTCTGGAACTGCTGCCGGACAGACAGACTATAATAAATTTGATTTGGGGGGGGGGGGTGAGGAGAGGAGGGAAGCTCCCTAAAAATTCTTCAGGGTCCAGAGGTCACTTGGACTTGGACTATCCCCTGTGGGACATCTTGAATACGCGGCAAGCGTTCCTTTGAACTATTTTCCTAGCAGCCAGGCATGATCGCGGATACTGTGACCGCTAAATCTTTGTGTGTATATCAGAGATCAAACTCAGGGGCTCATACATCCCAGAGAGTTGTATCTTCTGATGGTGTGTGTGTGTGTGCGCGTGCGTGCGTGTGTGTGTGTGTGTGTGCGCGTGCGTGTGTGTGTGTGTGTGTGTGTTGGGGGCAGGTGATGGTTGGGCTTGTGAGCTGTAAGGCTGAAAGACAGGTAGGGTTCTTGCCTTGGACACAGAGGGTCGACCCGGGTTCGATCCCTGGCATCCCATAGGGTTCCCCGAGCACCGCCAGGAGTAATTCCTCAATGCAGAGTCAACGTTACGTCTCCCCTCACCTGGATGGGCCCCCAAAACCAAAACAAACTTTGAAACTGAAAGTTCTGGTGAGGACAGAGAAGGGCACAGACCTGCCCTTAACGGACAGCTAAGACACAGGCTCTTGGGGGCAAGAAGTGAACTCCAGGCTGTTGGTAAGAAGGGCCGGGCTACCACCACCTCCCGGCCCAGCCAGCGGAAGTGCCAGGCTCCCCCTCCGGTCTGGGGGCGGTGCAGGAAGCCGCGAGCCCGCAGATCAAAGGGCCAGCAGGAGCTCAGGGTGCTGTGTGTGGGGCAGGGAGTGAGATCATGCTGCTTTGGCCTGCTGTTCCCACGGTCCCCCGAGTGGAGAACGGACACCGAGTGACCACAAGCATTGCAAGGGATGCACCGGCGGCCAGTGACGGACACGCGCCTTGCTCGTCAGGAAGGCATTTAGGGGCCTAGGGAGTGATGGTGGTGAGCCTCCTCCGTCTGGAAGGGAGCAGCCCTGCAGGCCGTGCTTGAGGGGCAGCAGGTCGCAAGACCAACCAGCCCAGGGCCCCGGAGTACCACCAGCCAGTGACATCTTCAGCGCCCCTGGCAGCCAGAGGCTGGCTTCTCTGCACTCGGCAGACGGAAAAGGCCCAGGGTGGAAGGCAAGAACTGAGTGCAGGGAGAGCTGCTGGCCACGGGGGCCAGGGCGAGCTCTGGGCACCCCCAACCCCCCCTAGGCAGCTGGTTGCTGGCGGCCGCTCACACTCAGCCTTGCGGAGGGCTCACGACTTACTCCCCCACCCGGAGGGCTCACGGGCCCTGCCAAGCGAGCGTGCAGACCCGACTCCACAAATCAAAGTGTCTTCTGAAGATGCGTGTCTGCAGCCACGGGCAACTGGCTCTTAGCGGGTCTAAACACAGAGGTGGGATGGGCTGGGGGAGGGAAGGAGGAAGGGAGAGAGGAGAGAGCACTAATATCTGAGCACAGTAAGCACTGGCGAGGGCTTGTTTAGATCTCGCAAAGATGGAAAAAGGCATCTCAGAAGCCTGGAGCCGCGGTCAGATAGTAGAGCGGGCAGGGCACTTGTCTTGCGGCAGCTGGCCCAGGTTCGATTCCCAGCAACCCATAGGCTCCCCCAAGCACTGCCAGGAGTAATTCTTAAGTTCAGCGTCAGGAGTAAGCCATGAGCATTTCTGGGTGTGCCCCCACCCACCTACGAAATCCCTGGATTAGGGCCAGAGCGGTCGTACAGCGGGCAGGGCGGTTGCCTTGCAATAGGCTGACCTGAGTTCCATCCCCGGCATTCCTGATGGTCCCCCAAGCCCCGCCAAGAGTGATTCCTGAGCACAGAGCTAGGAGTAAATCCTAGGCACCACTGTGTCCCCCAAACAAACCAACAAATGATAAAATCCCCCGGAACAAGGCAGGAAGGCGGCTCTAAGGGCCCCAGTCCACGCTTGGCTTACAGGGGCCCCAGGTCCCATCCAAGCACCCTTGGGTCCCCGAGCCATGCTGGGAGGGACCCCTAAGCAATGCCCAGGAGCAGTCTCTGAGCACAGTGACGGGTAGCCCCCAAATAAAGGTGGACAGCTTAGGCTAAGGAAACGGGGGCTTCACAGAGACCACCCGTGCCCAGCCTCAGGGAGAGGTGATGGCTGTCAGGGTGCACAGAAGTGGGGGAGGGTAGGTGGAAGGTCAGGTAGGGCCCCGGGGGCGCCAAGCCCAGGGCAGCCTCGTTTTAAAATAGCGAACGCCACAGGTGTGTCAAGACAGGAGCGCCTGGCCAGGCAGAGCCATGGGGACCAGTTCCCGCCGAAGATCTGGAAGGTGAAGGCGTGGGTGAGGAAATCCAAAGCGCCTATTGATTTCCTGACCTTGGCTCAAGGTCAAATCACAAGGCTGAGATTCTAGCTCATCTGCCAAGCTGGGACGTCTTGTGTCCTTCCCACTTTCGGTTCCTGGGAAAAGCAGGGCTCGGTCAAAGCCCGACTATTATTACCCCCGGGAGGGATGCCAAGGCTCCGGGTGGCCTCCCGCCCCCTGTCCCGAGCGGAGCCCGAACACGCCTTGCAGACAGCTCCCTCCGGCCGGCCGGAGCAGCCCGGCCCGGCCCAGCCTGGCGCTAGGCTGGGCTGGGCTGGGAACGTGTCTGCTAGGATGGCTTGGACCCGTGCCGCGACTCTCTGCCACGGGACAGCCGTGAGCAGCTCACCGCCAAGCACTGCGCCTGATGTAAACGGGGCTGAACGCAGGTACCACAGAGGCAGATGGGGGTGGGGGTGGGGGTCTCTCCACATCCCTTTTCCCCAAGTCCAGTTCCCATCTGACCTATTCCTCAGATCCGTCCATCAGAGGGTCACCTAGACAGGGGGGCAATGGGCTGCCCACTCCTGGTGAACTGTCCTCCGCTGTGGCGTGTTCACTGTGTCTCCCACAGGCCTGGACTGACCCAGCAGCGCTGAGTATGGCCTGTTGCTTCAACGCTTAAATCCCGGCTTCCTGCTCCCCCTCCATCGGGCTATGGGGAGCCTTCCTGACGCCTCATCCCAGGGCTGCTAACACCCCCTAGCCCCAGGACGAGCCTCCTGCCCTGAGTCCAGCCCAAAGTGGGGTGTCCCTGTGTACACCCGCTCTCCAAGGGGTCCACCATGCCTGAGCCCACAGCATTGCAGAGCTGGGTTTCTACCCAGTGCTGGCTCGGGGAGAGGGTCAGAGACAATCGCTACCACCGAGAGACCTGAGAGACGTTCTCCAGAAACAACCGACCCTCCGTTCTCCCTCTGGCCCCCTCGGGGGCTGGGGGACATGAAGCCAAGAGGGAATATTCCTCTCCTCCCCTCTCGCCCGTCCCCCCGCAAGTCACCTGCGTCTTTGCTTCTAGCCCTGAAGGGCGGTCACACTGACCCACAGCAACGGGCTTTCTGGAACCTTCCAAGTGAGTCTGAGGGTGAGGGCTGCCACCAGCCGAGTCACCTTATCCCACCTACCTTTTGATCTCTCGGATGGCCTTCCCTTCACAACCCAACCTCTTCCTATTAAATAAAAACCTGCCTGGTTCTTGGGGGGTCAGCGTTAGCCCAGTCGAGGTCAGAAGCACCCCCCAGAGCAGACGGGACCCATCAATGGAGCACCGTGCCCACGACCCGCAGCATCGGCTCAGGCTGGGCCTGGTGGCTTGTCTGTGAAACTGAGCATGTGGGCCCCTCAGTGCTGGGGCCAAAGGTGGGCTGCAATCTGCCTGTGCGTGGCCACCCACGGGCCTGGCTCTGGGGCCGCACAGCCAGATTCCCTCCTGGCCCCAAAGTCCTCCAGTGGAAACAGACTCCTGGGAAGGAGAAAGAGTACAGCGGGGAGGGCGCTTGACTAGTTTGACGCCAGGCACCTCGTATGGTTCCCCCCGAGCTCCACCAGGGGTGATCCCTGAGCACTGTCAGAGGTGACCCACAAATCAAAAAAAGAGGAAGAACGAGAGAGGGAGAGAGGAGGAGAGAAGAGCGGCAGAGAAAGAAAGAGGGAGGGAGAGGAAGAGAGGGAGGGGGGAGGGAGGGAGGAAGGAAGGAAGGAAGGAAGGAAGGGAGGGAGGGAGGGAGGGAGGGAGGGAGGGAGGGAAGGAGGAGGGAAGGGAGAAGGGGGAAGGGAAGGGAGGGAGGGAGGGAGGGTGAGAGGGAGGGAGGGAGGGGGAAGGAAGGAAGGAAGGAAGGAAGGAAAGAAAAAAGGAAGGGAGGGAAGGAGGGAGGGAGGAAGAAGGAAGGAAGGGAGGAAGGGCAGAAGGAAATCTAAAAAGGGTCACTCAGTGCCCCTGGGGAAACTGAGGACATGGGCAGAATTCCAGTTGCGTGCCTCTGGTCACTTGTGCTGACCTTTGTGCGTTCGGGACAAGGCACACAGCAAAATCTCCAAAGCAAGCTTTGCATAACCTCATGCCAGCAACAGCACCCGTTTGGGGGACAGGATGGAACCCCGATACTCCTCCTGGTCCCTATGCACGGCAGTGAAGAAGGAGATTCTGGCGCAGCTCTGCCTCCTCCAGACCACCCTCCCCGTCGGCCGCCCCCTCGGCAAGGTTTCCAAAGCACAGACCACATCTCCCTCCGCCCCCTTGAATAGAAGCGAGCCCAGCAGACCTGGGCCAGACCCTCCCGCCGGCTCAGGTCTTCGGTGCTGGGCTGTTCCCCAAGGCCGGTGAAGCCCGGGACACTCCCGCCCAGCTCTGAGAGGGGATGAAGACCCCGAGACTTTGGAGGGAAGGAGCAATCCACTCACAGTCACTCAGCTCTCACATGGCACAGGGCATGGAACCCGCGGCCCCGGCGGGAGGAGGCGGGCACTCACCTGGTAGGAAAGGCCGTCCTTGCGGGGGCTGAGGCCCATCTCCTCCATGGACGGGGTGTTCATCATCACCTCGGTCATCTCCGCGGAGCTCGGGTAATTGGGGCTGCCAAGAAACCCAGACTGGGGTCAGAGTTGGCCTGCGTGCTCTCCCAGGATCGCTGTCACACCCGGGCACCGTTGGGCGTCGGGGTGGGGGGGTGGGTGAGGGGGAGGGTTTCAAAGCGGCTCACAGCAAAACAACACCCCAGGGAGAGCCGGCCCAGCCCAGAGCACCGGGGCTCCCCGCGCAAGCCACAGGGCCAGGATGTGAGAGGCCTTGCTGGCAGCAACGCGCCTTCCTCTGCTGTACCCCCAGACTCTCTCCTCTGTCCGCCTCCTCTCCTGTACCCCTGACTCCTCTGTCCTCCCGGACTCCTTACCCTCCGTCTGAACTCCTCTCCCCGTTCCTGTTCGGTGACAGAACCAGAAGAAAACAAAACAGAAAGCCACCGTCAGGGGCTGAGTCTCTGTGTCTGTCTTAAAACCCCTCAGCCCGCCTGCACGGGAACTGCATCTTATTACAGAGTCAGCCGGGGAGCCACAGACGGAGAAAGAAGGGCAGAACGGGCTTGCCTTGCAACGTGGCCAACCCTGCTTTGACCCCTGGTTCCCCCCCCCCCCAAGCACCGTTAGAGGTGATCCTTGAGCACCAGACTAAGAGTAAGCTCTGAGCACCTCCAGGTGGCCAACCCCCACAAAGCAAAACAAAACAAACACAGTTCCCCGCCCCCCCCCATCCACACACACACTTTCCTGCCAAAAAAGCAAAGAACAGGCCAACCTCAGAGAAGCAGAGTCCAGTCCCGTGGCCTTCCCAAGTCTCCGCCTGCCGGTTTTCCTTTTTGCAAAATGTCCCACTTAGAGCCCCAAGGGGTCAGCTTTCTGCAGGCTTCACATCTGCCATCCAGCCCACATCGCCAGAGCCCTCGTCCCAGCTGCTAGCTCACAGCTTGAAAAACAAGCCCTTGGATTAAAGCCTTAGGATGCCCGGACTCTGATTGCAAAAGAAATTTCCAGAGGGGCAAAGGAACTCGTGAAAGTGCTCTGTACTCTGGACGCAGCATGCAAATGCTCAGTCTGCAGAGTGGGGGGGACGGGGGGTCCCTGCCACCCGGTGCCAGCCAGTGCCCACCCAAGCCCATGCCCTGGCCACAGACACCCCGATATTTGCTTCATCGCGCTTTATACCTGGCTCAAAGGAGACAGGACAGGCTTCACAGGGCACTGTCCGGGAAGGGGCGCCCCAGAACTCTGTTTTATGGTAACTATTATAGAGAGCACTGGACTGGGAAACAGAAGCAACGCGTTCTGGTCCAAACTCTGTCCCTCAGGAGCTGCCTCAGGGGTCCCGGGCTAGTCCAACACCCTCTCTGAGCTACAGGTGGTCTAATTTGTCTCCACGCTCACAGTTGCTGTGGCTTCCCGGATGCGCCACAAACTCTGAAGTTCTCATCAGCTCCAGAACCATCACAAGCCTTGATTTCCCAGGGGATGACGGATGGATGGATGGATGGGCCCCAACCCCAACCGGAGCGAGTCCTATCCTGAGCCTCCAACGGGGCCCTAAGTCCCCTCCCTCGGGCTACCAGGCGCTCAAGCCTCCCCGGAGGTGGGAGAGGGCAGGGCGCCCCAGAAGGAGCCTGGGACGCCCCCACTCCAGCCCCACACCCCACCGGGGGATTTTCCCTTTGGGGTGGAAGTTCAGTGTCCTCTCTCCGCGGCCGGGCCGGGGCGGGGAAGGGGCCGCTCTGTGGGAGATGCTGCGCTTCGGGGCGAGCCTGGGGTCGCGAGCTCGCGCGCGCAAAGGCAGTTTCCTCCCCGCTCCGGGGTCCCGGGAAGGCTGCGGTTCCACCGGCCCGATGCGCCCAAGGGCGCCCGCCCGTCCCTTCGCGGGGTGGGTGCCGCGGGGCGCGCTCTCCTCGCTCGGGGGGCGGGATGGGGTGGGAAGAACCGGGGCGCCCTCCCGCAAAGTTGGAGCGAGAAGCGGCAACTTGGCGGGTCCCCCCCACCCACCCCACCCTGGGGCCGCACCTGAGCGCGCTGCGGGGCTGCGGGGCCGCGCCCGGCCTCTCGGCGCGCAGGAAGGAAGCGGCAGCAGCGGCGGGCGACCGGCGGTGGGGGGTGGGGATGGTGGGGGGTGGACCGGGCCTGCTCCGCCACCCCCCGCATCCCTCCGGGGACCCCCCTCCCGGCACTACCCGCCTCGCTGGACCCCCGACCCCACCCCGCCTACCACCCCCCGCTCCCCCGGAGCGCGCGCGGGCTTTCGGGGGGACCCGGGCGAAGGGAAGGGGCGCAGAGGGGACGGCGCGCGGAAGACGGGGTGCCCTGGGCGGGTGTCCCCCCAACCCCTCGGGGGCTCTGCCAACCGCCGCCCCGGCTCAGCCCCGCGGCCCCGACGCCCGAGACTTGGCCGCAAACAGAAAGGAAAAGGGGAGGGGCCCGGGGCTTTGCAGAACCCCCCGCGCCAGGCCGGGCCGGGCCGGGCCGGGCGCGCACCTCCCGCAGAGATGACGCTCCCCCCGCCCTTACCACCATCACCCCCAACCACGCGGGGTGCCGGCGGGGGACCCTGCCCCGCGCCCACCCACCCTCGCGCAACCACATCCATCCACACCCCCCACCCCTGGCCGTCACTTCGAGTTCACTTCTTTGTCTGGATGCTTCCAGCGCCTCCGTCTCCCCCACCCACCCACCCACCCACCCACCCCCACCTTTGCAACCTTGACGCCGCCGCCGGCTCCCCGCGCGCGCGGGGCCCCCCGCGGTCACGGCCGGGAGTCGGATGCCCCCGCCGCTGGGCTGGGCTGGACCGGGCCGGGCTGGGGGCTGGGGCGCGGGGTGCGCACGGGGCGCGGGAGACTCACCCGTGGATGGGGAAATACACAGACATGAAGTCCTCGGGGGCGGCTGACCCACGCCCTTGGGCTCGGCACGGGGCTGGCGGCGCGCGCGGACGGGGGGCGTCCCGGCCGGGCGCGGACACCAGCGCGGCGCTCGCGGGCTCCGCCTTCCCGAGTCAGCCCCGCGGCCGGCGGGTGGGCACCGGGCACCGAAGCGGCCGCCGGGTCTCCAGCGAGCTCGCGGCCCCACAAAGAGCCCGGGAAGCCGCTTTATAGGGGCGGGGGGCGGGGCTCGGCCCGGGCCGCCCCGCCCCGTCGCCCCCTCCTGGAATCACGTCACCAAAATCATGAATGGCCTGTGCGCTCGCGGCGCGGGGCGGGCGGCGCCTCCGGGGGGTGGGGGGGCTCGCCCGCCCCCCACCCCCCGGGCTTGTGGTTTGCTGCAGCTTCAAGCCCGGCCCCCCACCCTCCTCCTCCTCCTCCCTCCACCACGCACACACCCGCAGACACACGCGCGCGCCCGCGCCCCTTTTCCACGCACCCGGGCCCGGCGTTCAATGTCAACGGCGCCGCTTCCCGCGTGCGAACCCTCCAGCGCCCGAGCCCGCGGCCCCGCACACGCACCCTAGGGGGATGGGGTGGGGGAGGGGGCCTCGGGGGCGCGGGGAAGGCGCTGGAGCCCCATCCCGAAGCCGGCACTCGCCGTTGGAGGGCGCTACCCCTCCACCCGAGCCTGACGCCAGCTCCTCCCGGGCACCCGCACCCCGTCCCGGCCCCTCTGTGTTCACCAGGGCCCCCCACCGCGACCCTCCCCCCCGGGCCCCTCCCGCGACCGCATTCTCCCCCCGCAGCACCTGATCGCTGCGTCCCGAGCGCGTCCCCGCCGGTCCCCGGGTGCTGCGTGGACGCCCGGCCCCCCACTTGGGCAAGAGGCGTTGGGAGGATGGGAGCAGACGCGCGGGGGGCGCTCCGCAGCCCGCGGGGGTCGCACCGGCTCGGGAAGGGCTCGTCTTGCAGCCAGCGGTGCCTTTCATCTGCGACACGGGACGTGGGATCGTTCTAAGGTGGTTTATTTATTTTTTTATTTTTTTTTCCAGCGGACACATGTATACTACAGGCGGGAGGGAGGTGCCCGCCTTCTCCTGGGCGCCCAGACCCGCTCCCCAAAGGAGGAACAATGCGTTTCCCGCGGACCCCTCCTCTCCTCGCGCGCCGCCAGGACTTGGAGCTCCCGGGTCTGTGGGCTGCGCAGCCCCGCGGGTCTGGGCCCCTCCAGCCCCCTCTCCCGGGCGCCGCCTCCCTTGCTGGAAACGGGGTGAAGGCGTTAAACCCCAGAACCTGCGCTTCAAAGCACAAATAAAGCATGGTCCTGGGGCATCCCGATTGATAGGAGGGGTTAAGGGTGAGGCCAGGCCAGAGGAGACCCCCCCCACTCCCCCAACCCAACCAGGACTTCTGTGGGCAAGTGAACCCAAATATAAACAATTAGGAATGTGAAATATCCATGCAAGATTGATAAGAATAGTGACATTGGAAACAGGGCTATTTTTAGCCATTCACATCCACCAAGCCAGCGAGTAAAAACCTCCCACCTCCTGCGATTATGCAGCGCCCAGTTCCCTCCCAGAAGAGACGCTGGCTAGCTTGTCTTCATCCGATAAATAGGGAATTGATAGGTATCGCCCGGCGCCTCCTCCCTGGCTCTCCGGAGCAGAACCGGCACGAGCCAGTCGGGGCCCCCGGGGAGCTAGGGAAGGTTGTGCAAGGACTTTTGAGGGGCAGGGTCCGGGTAGGGGTCTTGAGTGGAGAGTGTCTCTGCTTGCACGGCTGCCTTCTGTCCTTTCTCCCCAGGAAAAGACCCTGCCCAGGCGAATGGGGGGTGGGAGCCTTGTCACCTTTCCACACCAACAGTTGTACTGGGATAATGTTCCGGTGATGGTGATGGCTTTGCGGGCCTTGCAGACCTTTGCATGTAACCCCCCCCCCCAAAAAAAACTGTCCCTGAGAAGGGGTCAGAGAGATGTCTGTCCCTGGAAGAATGCCCACGCTGAAGTGCCAAGCGACCCCTTGGAGACAGCACACTGATACGCCTTGTCACTGCATTTCAACTCCCATCAGTAAGTTAGTGTGGAAAGCAAGTCTTGGGCCCAAATCGACACATTCTAGATCCCAAGCACAGGGACACCTTTGCCGGTTTGGAGAGAGGGGAGGCATGGGTCTCCATCCCATGCAAGATACAACAGTAACGAGGGATACAACAGTAACCCAGATCGTTTCCCAGTGACCCCCTTTGTTGTTTCAAAGTATTTTCATGGGAGCTTTCAGAAGGATGGACCCGTGGAGATCCCAGTTTACAAACTTGCAAACTGAGGCTGAATGCATTAGACTCACCAAAAGCCACTCCACTAGGGGTTGAGGTGAGGGGGGGGCGGTTTCCATGCTCTGCCCCCTCCCAATCTCTACAGACACAGGCCAGCTGGACCTGTCGATGGAGCATTTCTTCCCAAGATCTCAGGAGATCTGTTTCTCTCCCTGCTGCCTTTGAATAAATGAACAGAAACGCAAGCGAATGGAGTTACTTAGGGCCCCAGCACCTCCGAGCTGCACGGCACTTTCCAAACCATCTCGTCCAGTCTCCTCACTTTACAGATGACAAGACACCTCCGGGATTAAATGGCACAGCCAGGGGTGCCAGGTTAATGCGCTACAGCCCAAGCCTGAACGGCAGGCAGGCCTGCAGAGGCCAGGAGCAAAGCCACTTTGCCACAACCTTGCCGGACCCCACACGCACCTCAGGACTGACACCCACCCGAGATGGTGCCGGGTCACTGCCACCACCATTCCTCTTTGTGGAGTGGCAATCGGCACGTTCATAAATCCCCAGACAGCTGCCACGTGTCTGCCAGTGTTTCACTTCTCAGCCACCTCCTCTGGACCCATGATGCCATGTATGAAGGCTTGAATTGGCGCCTTTATTTTTTTTTTTTTGAAGTCTCTCTCTAGGGCTGGAGTGATAGCACAGTGGTAGGGAGTTTGCCTTGCACACGGCCAACGTGACCAACCCGGGTTCGATTCCTCTGCCCCTCTCGGAGAGCCCAGCAAGCTACCGAGAGTATCTCGCCCACACGGCAAAGCCTGGCAAGCTCCCCCGTGATGTATTCGTTATGCCAAAAACAGTAACAAGAAGTCTCACAATGGAGACATTCCTGGGCCCGCTCAAGCAAACTGATGAATAACGGGAGGACAGTGCTCTCTCTAAATTAGTTTAGCAATATATTCCCATACTTTAACTCCTGGGCTTGCCCAAAAAAAGGGGCATGTGGGATTTCCTTATGGGGCCTGGAAAGGGGAAAGCCAGTCCTTTGGCTTTCTGTTTGTTTTGTGGGGCCGGAGTGGGCACACCCGGCAGTGCTCAGGGATCACTCCTGGCGGTGTTCGGAAATGCCAGAGGTTGAACCAAGGCCATCCACTTGCGTAAAAGCAAATACTGCATCCACTGTACTAGTGCTCCGGCCCCTGGCTTCGAATCAGCACTCTAGGACTTGCCCAAGTCGCTGTCTGACAAGGCCCAGCTGCCCGCTTGGGGACACTGGAAGGCCTAGGTCCCCTCGCTCCGTTTGACAAAGAGAGAGAGGGAGGTTCTGGGAGCTCAGGGTTCTGCACGGTGAATGCTGAGCCAGAAGCTCCCTCCGAGGCCTGCTGGTGCAGAGCCTGTGTTTGCCCCATGAGGCTGCGCTTCTCTGGGCCCCTGTGGTTTCGTCGGCTTGCTTCGTGCACTCAGCTATAAACGGAATACGGAAGAGTTGGTTCTTTGAGGAGGAGAGCAAAGGGCAGGCGTGGGACCCATCCAGGGCAGCCAGCTGACGGAATCCACCACTTTCCCACCCCGGAAATTGGGAGTTTCTTAAAGCGGACAAAAGACTTGGTTGGTCTGGGGGGTGGGGGATGATCTCCTAAAGGGGGGTTCAGGAGGTCTTGGGGTCCCACTGATGGCTCTTGTCCAAACTGACTGTGGGTTCATTTCAAGGGCTGGAGCAGCATGGCGTTGCAAGGGCAGTGATGCTCGTGCCCTGCCATTGGCCATGTCTGGGATGCTCTGGCCGCGCTGGACATCTCCCTGGTGATGCTCCCTGAGGCGCCCCTGGGGCTGAATCCAGCGAGCTCAGGGAACCAGGCGGTGCTGGGAACCAAGCCCGGGTTGGTCCTTGCTCTGCAATGAGTCCTGACTGCCCCATTATCTCCCAGCCCCCGGTGTTGGGATTTTTGGGGTTTTGGGGTTTTTTTTGTTTTTTGTTTTTACTTTTTTTGGTAAGTGAGTTGAAGGGAAATTTCTAGTCAAGTTGTGTGTGTGTGTGTGTGTGTGTGTGTGTGTGTGTGTTTAAGTGAAACTCATTTGAGTACAGAAGAAAACTGAAAGGCAAGAACATGTGTGGGTTGATGTGAGGATTAAACGAGGTAATGTGATGAAAACACTTGGCAAGTGGCAGACACTGAGCAAGTTTTGAGGGGTTTAGGGGAAAAGCAGGGGTTCGGTGGAGTTGGGTTTTGCACTCATTTCAATCCCAGACAGCCCCCCCCCACGACCCCTTTTCCTCCGGCTCCTTGTTCCCAGCCTTGTGAGGACAGAGAGCAGAGGTCACTCTGGTGCTATACACGCAAGCCCCCCCCCCACCCCACTCCCCATGGCCCTCACAGGCCAAGCCTTCTGGCTTTGGGCTCCCCAGCCAGTGCTCAGCTGGGTTCTAGACCTAAGACGAGTGAGGCCGATCTGAGAGTGTGGGGTGACCCCAGTCTGGTGGGAAATTCACAGCCCACAGAGCAGCCCTGAATTTTCAGATTCACTGGAAACCGACTCTCCAGCCTCTGAGGCCTTTGCTGGACTCCTCAAGCTTCAAGGTCTAGGAGCACTAAAGCAGGGTCGAGACCCAACTCCTAGTGATGGAAACGAATAAGGCTGAGGCGGAGCACTTTATAAGAGGGAAGTGGGGGCTGGAGAGATAGAGAACTGGTAAGCCGCTTGCCTTGCACACAGCTGACCCTTGTTCGAGCCCTGGCACTGCCTGTGGTACCCTCAGCACTGCTAGGAGGGTCTCCTGAGCACTGACCCAGGAGCGAGTCCTGGTCCAAATGGGGCCCAACGGCCGCCCGCTGAAGGAGGAGGGAATCGCTGTGCGTCGTACACTGGGGCTACGCAGCTGTAGGTCCTCCTGCCCTGTCCCCTCCCCTCTGGGCCTCCTTTCCACCCAGAACCTT